TACTATTCGTAATTGCATTTTGGCAGCTGCATACATCTGTGATAGAGAAATCAGATATGCTATATCCTTTGGCATCTGTCATCTATCATTTAGTAAAGAAGCCAAAAAAACCCCCAAAACAAACTATGTTATAAACAATAAAAACATAAAAACAGGAATATTGGGATCCTTTTAGAAGATTTTTTTTAAAGCCTTAAAAAAAAAAAAAAGAAATCTCTTTGGGAACACAATGCTTATATCTGTACAAAAGAACAAAACAAGAACTTTTTTTTAAACGTATAGTCACCGGGGCAGTGTTTTTTAAACATATAGTATGTCTTTCTCCACAGTCTTTTCCTGAAGAGACTAACACTAGCAAAGACAAATTTATTACACAGTCTCACATTATCAATATAAATTATAAAAAATGTTTTAAAAATAATGATCAACCCACATCACAGGAAGGAGACAAACATCATAAAAATAACAGTACCAATTAAAAGCTGTTCTCTAAAATGCCACTTAGCAAGATGTTTTGTAAATAGTGGACTATGGTTAAAAATCGGCCAGTTCTTCCATTTCAACCATCATTTACAGTATGGTATTGAAAGAGGAAAAACAGAAAAACAATAAAGAGAAGGGATGGGAAGGAAAACAAGCAGTCTTTCCAGAACTAGTGTGGAGCCTCCAAAGCTACACTGGCAAGAGTCAAAGCTTAGAGGGAAAAGCAGCTGTTTTGCCAGCATAATTAAACCCCCTCCCCAATCATTATACATGTATACAAAGTGACTTGTAAGCATCAATTGTCTACACAGGGAGTTTACTGACATAGCTAGGTTGGTTAAGTAATTTTTTTCACATGTCTATGTGTGACAACTACACCAACAAAACTTTGTATTGTACTCAGAGGTCTAACTCAATTTCTCCATTTCTGTAAACATACCTATTTTTCACTTAAGCCTGGAAGTAGAATGTCCTACGTTCACCATCGGATGTGTCAGGTACCAATTTTACTATTTGACTAATTAGTTTATTGGCCCCTCTCACTTGGTTCTACAGGAGTTTGGCAGTCTACACTTTCAATAGAACTTACATATTTTATGTTCTTTATCCCATATCTATTCCATACAGCATTCCCTCTAAGCTGCGCAGCATGTGCGGTCACACCTGGCAGCGTGGCTTGAGTGCGCCTGCATGGCCACCCACACCGCACAGCTTAGAGGGAATGCTGATTCCACCATCTATTTTCAGTGCCAAATTCACTGGTTATCTTGCTAAGCATAAACAACCCCAACATATTTAATACCCAAACATCCATAAAAATTCCATTCTTTCTACCAATTCTATTTTCTAGAAGTGTAGTTTTCGTCATTAAAAACATACAAATAGTTCAACTTCTAATAAATTACCTGTATTTTGTGGTTGTGTCCTTAGTGTAATAAAGATCTGAAAGATCTGTCACCCAACACAAGTCAATATAACTAGCCAGGAGGAACTTGCACTTATGCCAAGCTCCTGAGAAACTTCTAATAATAGTGCTGAGTATTTAAGACTTCTTGAAGAAGTATAGTCTCTTTAAAAATAAAGTTATTTTAAAAGATTGTAACGTATGAACACAGTGCAAATTTCCAAATAATTATCTAGTCAGAGTACTATTTCACAAAAAGTTCAGAACAGGTGTTGCTAGCCTGAAGTGATAGAGAGCACATACATCAGAAAAACAATTTATGTGCCATGTAGAATCGATTCTGAATGTAGTACAGAAACGATCAATTTTGCAAATAAGGGACTAGTGTAAAATAAGCATCTTCTTTCAGACAATGAGGTTAGAAAGGGGCTGAGCAATAGAGAAATACTGACTGAACTCAATCAATACTAATTATATATTTATAACTTCTGTACCAACCTTCAAACCATACCTTCTAAACAGCAAGCATTTCAGATTTTTTTCTAGGAAAATATATTTTCACACAAGAGCTAAATTTCAAGTGCTTTACATTGACAATTTTGAGAAATTACTCTGCTCAAAAAAGGCCCAATTATCAGCCTACGGTACCAAAAAACTGTGATTTCATACTGCCTTTTAAACAAAGAAACAGCTTATGTGATGGCTTCAGGCAATATTACATGCAAGGAATTCACACATTCTAAGCTAAGAATTCAAATGATTCATTCTTGGCCTGATCATACTCTAGGTCACTTTGGAGGAGGAAAACAAGATGTGGTGCAGGATAAGAGCACAGCAGCAGGAGGCAGAGCCTAGAGAGGAGTCAGACCTGGGTTTGCCCACAGGTACTCTGTAGAAGAATGCAAACCCTTAGAAACCCCCCGTTAGGAAAGTTTCTTGGGAGTTGCCACCAAGGGCTGATAGCTCAGAGATGGTATAGAAAAAACAGGGCTTCTGCATGGATGTCCTATGTCCCTTGCACATCTGGGTTACATGTGGGCAAAAAACAGCTACAAGTGATTGTACATGTAAAAGGTTTTCTACCAAAATGTATAGGGTTAGATCAGAAATTTTACTGAGAAAGAACAAGTTGTAAGGGGGGAGGGGAGAGCAAGAAAACCTTGTAGGGCCACTTTCTTTTAGAGTTGCAGTGAAAACAATTTTTTTCTTTATGGCACAGCTTTTATTTAAACAGTTGCACAGGACTTTTCCCCCTCCTCCCGTTTTGATACAATATGCCCATGATGAGAACGAATGCTCACAACTGACTGACCTAAAATGGGTTATCGTCTCCTTCACTTTTTATATGTATATAACCTTTATATGTATGTATATTTTACATAACCTCTCCCAAAACCAACAATATAATCTATGCCAGCGGTGCTCTAGCTCTTGCTCCTAAAGGCCTGATAAGTTGTGTGGGGCTGACTGGGAGGCTGGATCCAGCCCAGTACTGACCTGCATGCCCCAGTTAGCATGCAGGGCCTGGGCCTCCCCATAGGTCTGTAAATTCAACATCAGAGGAGAAGTGTTCCCAGCTTCCTCACTGCCAAACTTCTGGACCTGGGATGAGCCCTGCAGGTCAGAGGACATGGAACCAGGGGCCAGATCTGGCCTGTGGGGAGAGCTTTGAGCACTAGGGGTGTGAGAAGCAGGCCGTATTCGATTCGATTTCAACCCGAATCGGGGGACAGCGATTTGATTTGTTAATTTGGATCAATGTTCCGATCTGATTCGGCTGAATCCAAATCTGAAGATTCAATTCTGATTTGGAGAACCAGTGATTTGGCCACAAGCAGAGCGTTATGTGTTTTTTCTACATACCTCGAGGTACCAGGTGCGGCTCATGAACACCGAGATGGTGGGGCGGATGAAGCATCCCACAGGAGCATGCCCCGCCCCGCAGTGCTCGGTGGCAGACCCAGAAATGGACCAGAAGTACAGGGGGACCCTGGGTGCCCCCCCCAACCCAGGGAGGCACCATTCGCTGAGCCGGGGGAGCATGGGTGGGTGGCCCCCCACTGCACTCCCTGGCGGACCCGGAAGTGGACTGCAAGTGCTTCTGGTCCACTTCTGGATCCACCGCCAAGTGCACTGGGGACCCCCCCAGCATTCCCATGGGATGCTCAATCCACCCTTAGCGTTCGCAAGTTGCCTGGTATGTTGAGGTATGCAGAAAAAAAATATAAAGCTATGTCTATGTCTGAATCATTGAATCTCTCCGAATCAATTCGGAGAGATTAAAGGGTCTCTTGATTTGATGGGGAGATTTAGCCGCCAAACTGAATCAGTGACTGAAGCTTCACATAGCCCTATTGAGCACCCCTGGTCTATGTGCCAATAGCCTTCTAGTAACTTGTGGCTTAAGAAAATTTTTCAGGACAGCAACAGCTCAACTTTTTACACAGGACATAACTAAACTCAAACATGCTTGTTAAGAAAACAAAATTCCTTTAAAAATGTTCTTGACCCAACTAAATATCTGTCGGGGAAAAAGGTGATCCTTACCCAACCAACAGCAGTTTAAACTTCAAAGCCAACTGTCTCTTTCTACACACAAGTGGGATGGCTCTTCCTAACAGAACTAAGTTGTCTCAATTAAGGACATGACCCTATATTCAACAGAAGTCACATGCACGATTCATCTTAGAACACATAACATGTTTAATGAAAAACTAACCATTAAATTTTGTTTGTATAGGCATTTTAAAAATTACAATTTTCATCTAAAACAGTGGTCTCCAACCTTTTTAATTAGGAGATCACCTTTGGCATTTAAAAGCAACCCAAGATCTACTGTGTGCTGCTGACACCCCCCCTTCCCTCCCACCCAGCAGGTAAGTCTGTGGGGAGGGAAGGCGGGGAGACAGATCGAGGCAGAGGGAGAAAAAATTATTTGGGGGTGTGCCTCCACAGCAGGTATGTCCCACCCGGCTGCGGCCCCACTCAACTTACCTCTGCTCCTGCCTCTGCAGCACTGTCCCTCACTGTGGGGGCCTCAATCTATCCCCCGCCCCTTCCCTCCCCCATGGGCTTGCCTGCTGGGCTGGGGCACACACAGACCCCCACCCCAGCTCCGGATCAAGTCTAAGAGGCTCCAAGATCTATCAATGAATCAAAATCCACTGGTTGGTGACCACTGATCTAAAACATATTTCTAAAAGTACAGAAACAAAAACAAGGTAGACAGGAAAGGTGCATCTTTTCCCAATACTTCAGAAATGAAGCTGAAAATTAATCATACTTTTTTGTTTCATATTGAGCATCTAGTATCAGTGTTTGTATCTGGTTTCTAACTGTTCATAAAAATTAATTTGGAAAACTATTATGCATATTCACACATAATTCCCGACAACAACCAATGAAGTTATATGTACAATTGAGGCACAGCAGTTGTCCAGTTGTGAGCTAAATGTTTTATTTTACTAAACATAATTCAAATATTCGCCATTGTGTGCGCTGCTTTTCATAGAAAGAACAACAAAAAGTTTTGGAACTTTTATGTATTCTTAAGAAAACTTAAAGTCATATTAAATGGGAATTTCATGTAGCTTCCTAAAATGGCTCTGCTTACCCATTAATGTAATTTATATTTAGCACAAGACCACAAAGAGAGACTGCTAGACTAGGCTGTTTCAGGGAAGAGTAAACCACTCTGCTTCTTTGCTTGCAGTACTGCGAAAATAAAGTGCACTGTAGTTATTTGGGAAATGAAATTTAAACACTTTAGTTTTTCTTTTTTGTGCTGTTCTGTTTTGTGCAATTCTTTAAATTGCTTTTTTGCATAAACTCAATTAAAAAAATAGTGGATGGCTCAACCCCCAAGGGAACCCAGACTTAACAGAATATCTCTGACCAAGCTCATGAGCAAACAAATGGGGTAAGGGAGGAGGGAATTTGGACATCTGAGCTTCTGTCATAGAAAGTACACAGTCTGAGCTTTCAAAAAACCATTTACATTATAAAACTGTAATTTCCACACACAAAGCTAACCCTCACCAAAATTATCTGCAGACACCACAAAACAGGAGCACAGGACTTCCAATACATTATGCCCAATCCCTTTCTGTAAGACCACCACTTTGTATCTCTTGTTCCACTGAACAGTTGGCAGAAGGCAGCTAATTGCAGCTTCCTTGGACCAAGTACTGGCTATATTAATCCTAACATATTTTGACTCCGCTGGTCTGAGGCCCTGGAAGCATTTCTTCCCGAAAGTTTCTCTAGTTGGCAGTAGCCTTATACGGAGCAGTTGACTAATTAGTTGTACAGTAAATGTTTCAACATCTACACGTGCACCCGTATTAGGCAGGAGTAAACTAATTCACTCTGCAGCAGAATAGTACTTGTAAATACAAATACTACTTATAAATGAAAGTACTATCCTGCTGCTGAGTAAAAAACTCTGCAGCAGCGCGCATATAGATGCTGGAGGGGCTGGCTTGGAGCATGAGGGAGCTTCAGTGCAGAGGCTGCCTGCTGGGTAGCTCTGCATTGAAGCTCCCTCATGACCCAAGCCAGCCCCTCCACAGCACTTTGGGCCAGGGGGAGCAGTCCCGGGCTGGCAGGCTGATTCCCGGGATTCCCTGACAGCCGGAGGTGCTCCAACACAGCAGCACATGGTGTTCATGAATAAACCCCAGAGCGGATTTCTCTGAAGTTAATTGCACCGGGGTGCACATTCAGATGCATGCCCAGGAACAGTTTATTCATGCACAGTATAGCATAGGTAGATGTGCCCACTGTAAAAAGTCTTGCACCAAATGACTGAATTCAGTTAAAATAGTGACTATAAAGAGAAATCTATTTCAAGACTCCATCACATTGAAACAGCATAGGAAACTACTGCAGTCAAATGCATGAGAGACAGTGACAACTAGCCTGGATAGCCATTTAACTCATGTAAAAAGTACAAGCCACTTGCCATCTCCCATTGATATCAATATTAAAAGCAGGAGCCTTGCACCCCTGACATTGATCCTTAGGGCATCAATACTGCAAATGGAAACTGGCAGGTGAGAACTAGCTGATGAGGAAGCAATAAATGGGGTTTACCTTGTTTGTATTTAAAACTATACTTCTATATGCTCTATTAGAGGAAAACCTGTTCAGGCATCAATACTGCTCAGCAACCTACAAGGAGCACTTCGTCCATTAGTGATAGCAAAAATACACTGGAGGTTTCCTTGATGAATGCTGACAACTTTCTTCCCAAAAATAAAAAAGCAGGAGATATGAAAATTATATACCTAACACCTCTTCCAGAACAGAATGAGTATTATGAAACTCCTTTACTATATGGAGAACAATGAAAAAGCAAAAATATTCCAAGATGAGATTTTTATATGAAAAAACTAGTTAACAACATGAAATTAGTAAGACAAAGGCTGTGGGACAAATTCATTACTGGTATACATCCACTTATGGAACTTGGCTCTTAGCTTTATCTAGTGGCTTCATCACAAAAGTGCGTGACAGATTTTCAAAAATAGGGATAGCAAATTAAGTCCTTTAATTATGAATGTCAGTCTTTCCTCACATGCATCACATTCAACTTTTATTCTGACAACATTCAAACAACGTTCTAAAAAAGTGGAAGTCATTAGAACACAACCTTAATTTAGAAAGTACTTATTGAAAACATGTATTATGTTCAAGAACATTTATGTTAAACATACAAATTTTGAATAGGAACTGTTTTTTTTAGGCCACATTGGAATTGTATTTTGTATTTCAACGTAAGGAAAACACTTATAAGAACTAGAACTTAACATTTAGAAATAAATTCTCTCCACAAGTGTTTACTACTTTTACATTTAAAAATATTCATTTAATCGAGGAACATCATAAAAATGCAGAATAAGTGTGACGTAATAAAAATTATTTGCAAAATGAAGGGGAATTAAATTATACTGTTCCTCAAGTCTGGTCTCAGATACTTCAGATATGTTCTCTAAACAGTCTGCGTTGCAATTCTTGTGTGCACAAATACCAGAAGCAATGCTTTTTTCACCATTACTATTTTCTACTATTATATTTAAAGTTTCACTATTAAGCAGCAGCTATTTCAATCATTTTTTGTTTCCTAAAATACCACCAATCCGAACCTCTAATTGTCTTTAAAAAAATAAATATTAACACAAAAGAGTACTTAAAGTGTTCAAACACATAATAAAGGGATCATGCTTTGGCAATGATCTACCATTTGTTACGTTTAAAAAATAATCTACACAGAGACTTTTTATAAAGAAACATATCTACAAAGAAAGAAAGAAAGCTGTATAAATAAAGAATGAAATCTGTGATCATTTTCATATGCTGCCAAGCTTTGGATGAATGTTTCCAAAGTGCTGGCGCCTCTCTTTTGAGTAGGGGCGGGTGGAGTACTTTAAGATTTTTCCCCCTCTCTTATTGAACTAGAATCTGGTCTCTATTAAAGCCATTTCAGCTATAGTACTACAGTCTGAAATTGTCTAATTTTGTACAGACATTGTTTCAATCCCTAGGACAATGCCTTACATTGATGATATCTTATTCTATGTCTAGCAGTTCCCAACTTTGTTGTTTGCTCCATGATAAACAGAACAACATTAAAAAAAGGATTGGATGTGTAGTTCTACATGTAGAGTAACTAATAATGGTATTTGTGGGGTCCGCACTGTGTTTCAACATCCAAAGTAAAGCTCAACTACTTTAAAAGATGGTTTCTTCCGACTACCTTTTCTACAAAAAACAAAAACAAACAAAAAAAACACAAACAAACCTCATTGTACCATGTTTTTGCAGGTCAAATTATATTGCACCTGTGAACTCACCAGATGATTTAACTTCACCGGAGCTGTATAAATATAACTAAGTAGGATGTGACCTCAAGCATTATTACTGGCAATGATACAAGCATGAAAAGAAATACAGATTGACAACTGTATCCGATACTGACTGCATGTGTGCAGTAGTTAAGAAATTTGATATTGGACTAGAAACACAGTGAACATGAAAATCTACAATGTGATTTTTAAAATGTATTCCGTTCCATTTCGGATTTTACACCAAGCCATGCTTGTGTTATCTGTGTGTTTAATGATTATGCCCACTTCTACAATTCAATTAAAATACACTGAATTGGGGGGGAGGGGGGCACCCCCCCCCCCAAAAAAGACAATTTTTTCCTCAAAGTCCATATTTAGATGATCTTGCCATTTTCCACTTCAAAATACCTTGACTTCTCTATAGTCTTAAGTAAGATCAATTGTCTAGTGTTTATCTGCAAACAAACCAGATACACGTTTTTTTTGAAAAGCATGAGAGAACAAAATATTTCTTTCCAGCTCCAAGCTTCATGAAAACTGATAAGCTCAGTATCTGTGTACAGTGCCTAGGCACAACAAAATGAATACTTCTACATGCTACCAATGAGTAAGCTGTTGTTGTTATAATGAAGCATTTAAACTATGGAAATAAGCAGCCTGAGACAATAAATTGGGCTTTGTCTACAATACAAGTGGGAAGCATGACTGCTGTACATATAAACAAGCTGACCATAAGGAAATCTGGGACACTTGCCCATCCTGTCCCCGACTCTCCCAAGTCAGTGGTGCTGCTGCAGGCAGAGGCGGGGGTGGGACAGTGTTGTACGTTGGGCAGGTAGCGGTACCTACCTGCCTGCCATGCCACTCCACACTGCTCTGCCTCCCTGTCAGACTGTGCCCTATGCCCCCACATTTCCAGGATGCTCATTATAATTCACACCAGCCAGGTGGGACTGGCCTCCGAAATCCAGAACCATCTTAGTTAAACCAGGCCATTATGGTCATCCTATGTATAAACTTACCCCATCTCATTTCAGCCTTGCTAACACAGGTTCTATTAGAAGTAAAGCCATAAGCAGTAGGGGTGTGCAAAACGGGCCCTATTTGATTTGGATTCGATTCTGGCCCGAATCAAGGACAGCGATCTGATTCGTTGATTCGGACAACTGTCCCCTATTCAATTCAGCCGAATCCGGATCTGAAGATTCGATGCAGATTCAGAGAATCAGCTATTCGGCTACAGACACAGCTTTAAATGTTTTTTCTACATAACTCGAGGTACCAGGCGTGGCTTGGGAATGCTAAAGTGGGGTGGGGGGAGCCCTGCGTGTTTGGTGGCAAACCAGGAAGTGGACTGCAAGTACTTCTGGCCCACTTCCAGGTCTGCCAGGGAGCGTGCTGGGGGCTCCCCCCGTGCCCCTCCTGGCTTGGTGATTGGCCCACTTCCGGATCTGCTGCTGAGCGCACTGGGGAGCCCCCCACATTTCTGTGGGACACTCCATTCGCCCCAGCACTGCAGCATTCATGAGCTGCCTGCTACCTAGAAGCGTGCAGAAAAAACATTTAAAGCTGCGTCTATGTCCAAATCGCCGAATTGATTCAGAGGGTTCCGATTCAATTCGGAGAAATTAAAGGGTTCTCTGATTCGATTCTGATTTGGAGATTCAGCCACTGAATTGAGACGAATCAAATTAGGCACCGAAGCTTTGCACAGCCCTAATAAGCAGCACAGGCTTTAGCCATTCAATAATCTGGGGTGCCCAGGAAGGTCTCTGAACTCTACACTGAAACAATGCTACTCAGCAGCTTTCACCACTACCTGTAATGGCAAGACTAATGCTAACTCTGTAGAGGTAGCAGCAAAGAAAGAGATAGAAGCAAATAAAGTTACTAATAGCCTGAGAGAAAGAAGATTGGCTCCCTGTCACTGCTGTTTGTGTCCAAGGCAGTTACAGATAAAACTGGGAGCGGGAAGTAAAATCCTAATAAAAGAAATTCAAATAACTTCTCCCCCTCTATTCTCTCGCACCACTCCCTTCAGCTTCCTAGCCCTCGCCTTCCATGGACTTCTCTACCAGTACCTTCCCTTTTTTGGGTATACTAAGGAATTTCTCACAATCTTGTCTTCAAGCACCTTTGTTTCCTTAGTCCCAGTGGATGCCTGCTCTCTATTCAGCAAGGAAAGGCGCTCAGATGGTACCAAAACCAGAAAGAGCAAATGGAGAGCTAGCCCAGAGAGAGAAGATGGTGTCAGGCTCATGGGATAAACCTAAAGAGAGGAAGGAGATGGAAAGAGGAAAGGAGATCTAAGCCAGCAGTAGAAAATAAGTGTCTGAATCAACTTGTTGGTATTCTTTTATCACTAGGGGAGGGACTGCCAGCATCCCCCAGAATTCTCCAGTATCTGTGGGAGAGACAGAAAGTAGCAGATTCACTAATACAGCTTAACTACACTTCTTTTTTATAGCTGTTAGCATTTGTATCATGGTCATACAAGCCACCCTCAGAATCATGCGTCCGTAACTGGAAAATGGGCCATCTAAGGAAGCAAGGGTAAATAAAAACAACCTATCATTATTCAACTAATTAAAAAAATATATCTTTGTGCTTTCCAGATTTTAAGTGCGAGTGATTTATAAAACATGCTTTACACATTGCAAAATTCAACAGAAACAAACAGAAATGCCCCACCATTGGACAAACAGACAAGTTAATAGAAACAATCTAGATTGTTGGTAAAGTACTAACCAGTTACTGACAGCAGCTGTGAAACCCTCACCTCCATTTCCTCTCGATGAGACCTGTCTCTGTCCTCAAATTCACGAGTTCTTCTCCGAGCTTCTTCAAAGGCTTGCTGTGCCAATGCATCCTCCTGCTACCAAACCAAAAGACAGAAAAATGACACAAAACACTATACTTATTTCCAACAAAATCCTGTTTTATTGAACTTCAGACATCATTTGAAGAAAATAATACTGACCTCAGGCAGCAAGGGACAACTAATCTACAGAAATCTACTGGCAAGAATGACAAAAAGTAGGGAGGCCACGGCTTTACGTTCCAGACTGCAGACTGAATTTGCAAGTTTAGCAGCTAGAGAGAATATCTTTTCACAAGGAAGCTGAGGAAACATAATATTAAATGATAGAAAGAGAGCTACTCAGTGCCACCTTAAAAAAAACAACAACCAAAAAGCCCCCACACCTTCCAGAGAAGAACTGCTTTTAAAGGACTATCTGCATTGCTTCAAGATGGAGTGCAGGTTTAAGACCAACTATTTAAAGGAAGCCTCAAGAGTTGTAGGAAAATGGCATTATCTTTCACCTGTGTTAAAAAAATTAACTGGCATGTAAAATAGATTTTATCCATGAACCTACATATTGCATTATTAAATTCTTCATGGAAATTTACTATTTTTTTGTTTTCTAGTAAATTCACTGATAGCACTAAAAATAGCCATAGCTGACAACTGATGGCTTTTAAATGTAATTATGTCCTAAAGCAATTATTTTGGTTAGCAGATTAACATTTAAATTCTTGTAATGGCGCATCTTGAACATATATTTATTAGTCACAGCCCACAGGGTATAATTTATGTTAAAAAATATATTAGGAAGTGTAAAGAGGTAGAAAACATTTGTTTCTCAATTGTGCATGTATGCACACATGTGCGTGCACACACACGACAACTAAATTTTAATCAGCAGACTTCCACGTTTTTGGTAAAAAAATATATCTCATGTTTTCGATATAGCTTTACAATTAGACAGAGAAGAGAAGGGGAAACATCTTAACTTGTTTTTCTAGCAGGCACTCTGTAAGAGTCCAGTGACAGTATTTTTGATAGAAGATTTCATTGTTTCAGCCAGTACTGCCACAGTTGGTTTATAGATACACTTTCCTTAATGGGGACCTACTAAACAGGAATGATAAACTGACAGATTTAAAATTTAAAAAAAAGTTTCTGTCACCTTGCAGATGCTTTTAAGGGTCAAGCAAAGATGAACCAGCTATGCAAGGAACAGCAAATAAGTAAAAAATACCTTTTCATATTAACTTTTTTTGTTCTTGCAATCTGATATTGTACTTTTAACTGTCCATATTAGGCAAGTGTTATTTTCAAGTTGAAGATTTCTCCTAAAAGACAGAAATCCTAACCTTGAGCTTTAAAAGGCAAAAATGTTCAGTTCCTGAGAACCCAACTAGATTTTTTATATATGAAGGGATTAAATACATTAATTTTTAAATTTAAGATAAAATGTCTCTAGTCTAAAAGAATGTCAAATTACTTTTTTTTTTTTTTTTTTGCCTAAGGCACTATCCTGTACCCTACAGCTACATTGTGAAATGATGTGAAAGAGTGCCCCGGGTGGCCCAACATATTTTAATACGAACATCTGTCAGTCAATAATTCTCCATAGTTAAGTCCCCAGAAAGTTATATTGAAGGGCAACGTTTAAAGCTGTCAGCAACAAAATACCATTTTGCCAGTAACTTGTATAGCACACCAGGCTCCTGCTGGCTATTTTTAATATGGGCATAATATATAGCAATTATGGCTGAGCAGTGGAAGGGAAGAGTTTGTTTCTTTTAATGGAGAAAGACAGCAGCAAAACAGATGGCAAAGCTGGTGACTGATTAGTATGGAAAAACTAACCTAATTTTTAAATGTAGGGGATCTATACAGAAAATTAGGATTACCTACTTCATGAATTAAAGTGACTTTCTGTATAATGAAAAAAGCAGTATTTCAAGCCAGGTGAAACCTAATGGGAAAAACACAGTTCTCCCTAAAAGTATCTCTGACTGAAGATTACTGATCTAGTAACTCATCTAACTTCCCATATCTTTCGACCATCTGGATCATAGAAGGGTATACACAAGTGGGTTTGTTTGTTTTGTTTTGGGGGGAGGGGTTAATGCATCCGTTTAGATAGAAGACTCCTGGAAAATTCCATCATTTTATATAGTCAAAGAATGATATCATTCTGAAAGCTTCTTTGGGACCAAAATCATTAAGTAATTATTCCATCTTCTCAAGTAAGAATTCAGTTTTGGGATGGAAGTTAAGCTTTTAGAATATTTATGTACTCACTTGCCAGTTACTTCAAAACCTTGGCAGTATTTTGACTCAGTAAGCCAATACCTAGAGTTAGCATCTATTGATGGCTATAAGACTGGCTCACTAGCACCTAGGAAAAAGGTGAGGGTGTAATTTCCAAATAATAAATTTCATACTGAAGCTGTCATGGCCTACAATAAAGTGGATCAACAGAAAATCTTTTCTGTCCCTGTGAGCTGTACACACAAAAATACAAATCAATCAAAATAAAAAAGTTGGCTTTTACAGCTGACAACATTTACTGGATTAATGAGGAAAACAAGCAAAACAGTTGAGGTCTCAATGTAACACAGGATATATTCAGTAAGAAAGACAGGCTGCCATCCATAAGCACAATTATATCTTAGTGACACTACAGCAACCTGATAGGAAAAGAAAATTTGACAGAAATAAGGTTGAGATAACAAATCAGGAGCTTTAGCAAAAGTATGTTGCATAGTGCTATACCAAAATATGTACATAGCCACAGAGCACAGACAAAATTCCAAAAGCCCAGAATTCAAAATATGCAATTTTTGCCTCAATTTAGTCAGGGTCTTACAGTAGTCATCCTAGTGAAGCCAATCATACACTATCTGTATTTAAACATACATGCATATAAACTCCTTGCTGAGTCTAGGCCTTCAATAACAATGGTGAAAATCTACAGGTTGCTTAATAAATGGGAAGATTACTACAATATCTGTAAAATAACAAAAAGGTTAATTTTGGAAAAAAAAGAAATACTTTAATTGTCATCATATCTTTTGAAAATGTCTATGTGCAATTAATCTTTTAGATATTTTATGACCTAGAAGAGGATAGTTTATTTCAAAACAATGGAAGTGACAGAATTGAATCTGAATCCCTATGAACTGAAATAGAAAGAGATTTGAAAATGCAAGAGAACGCAGGGACAGTTTTATCTATATAAAGTAACTTTCACACAATAGAGAAAACCACTTGTATAAACTGGACAACATAATATGAAGTTATTTAGATGGTGGCTGTCCCAGGCACTGTACTATCTGTACTATATAATATGCATCAGGATCACTTAAAATTACTCTGGAGTTTAAATACAGCAGTCGGTCATCTTACAGTAATATTACTACAAGAGTTTTAGAAGTGGAAGTAAATAATGATTTAAGCAATTTGAAAATTACAAGTGAAAAAGGGACACGGGAAGTATATTAGAGAAATAGTTCAGAAGCTGCAACTTAAAAACAACAGAAGAATAGTACCTAGATTTTTGAAAGCTGGCCAAAATGAAACTTCAAAAATGAGTATACATTTTAGTTATGTATGTTAACCTTTTAAGGGGATTTAAGTGGGAAATTAAACAAGGTATTAAAGAACCATTTTATATGTCTGTGCATTGCCGAGCACCATGGAGATTAATTCCTGATGGGTCCTTATCCACTTCTGTAACAGACATGATTATCTACCATAACAGAATCATTCATTTTAAGGCATACCTAAAATAAGACATTGAAAAGAATGATTACACACTTGTAATTGAGTTTGTACAATCATATACCTTGCAGATCCACGCCCTTAGTATATTTTTACTCTTCACACCCTGAATTCAGGCGCCTCAAGAAAAGACTACCATTTGAGGCTGAAGATAGATGCTTTCATTAAATTCAAGATTTAATGCAGAGATATATTTTAAGACAAAAACACTGTTTAAACTATTTAAGGTTAAATGTATGTTTTAATAACTTAAGGATAAAATATATTAAAGGAACACTGTGAAAACAAATATATATATATATATATATAAATCAGGAAATTCAGGATTAAAGTTACACTTTAAAGCAATAAAGACATGTTAGGGAATGTAAATTCACGGCTAAGGGATCCAAAGAGTCTTAATTCTACCCTCTAGCAACACCAAGCAATAATAGCATTATTGCAATTGAGGTATTTTAGTGGTTGTGGTCTAGGATTAGACTAACTTCATTTTTACAAGACAGAAAGGGCTTCTTTTCCTCCATAATTTTACTTTCTGCAGAAACACCACCAGAGGGAAAAATGAGTAGAAACCCTAAGAGGCCTTAAAAAATCAGGTTTGTCTAATCTGGGAATACTCATGCTAAAAATGGCTCAATTTTCCAACATGATTATTGTATAATTTGACTAAACAGGCACAGCCAGGCCTGTGTGGATGTCAAACAGTTTCTATACCTTAACATTTTGTAATTTAAAGAAATCTTAAATTTAAGATGCATTGTTTTATTTTAATTAAGGTTTATACTTTGTGGAAATTGAATGCATCAGTCCCCTTCACTCGTACAAGAAAGCCCTATACCCACCGAACACAGCATTAGTCAAATGACTAGGACACAGTAAACCAATCATGGAAAAAAGGTTGAAAGCTCCCTCCACTGTGACCACATGCACCAGACAATGAACCATGAACTTATCTTTTGAACATCAAGCGTTATTTGTGAAGTCAGAATGCACAGAACCCAGTGGTTCACTGCTTGCTACAAGTATTTAAATTCAAGGCACCATGAGTTGGCAAAGGCAATTATTCATGCCCCCCGCCCCCCCCCTACCCAGAAACAATAAAAACACTTTATTCTACCCCCAGTAAAGGCCTTTATTGAATGAAGAGGAGATGCCTGTTTTGCCGCTTGGGCTGTATTCTTCTTCCTTTGGAGAAGTAAAGTCTCTCTTTCAGGAGCTGAACTGGTAGGAAGACACAGCTGGCCAGGGAGGGTCAGGGACTAAAAGTCTAAGGTCTCAGAGTTGGGAAATCAGGGCTTCCTCCCCCTACTCAAGAAGCTATGCCTGGGCTGTCTTTAGGAGGTACTAAGAGAGACCACACAACGCCAAAGATCCCAAGAAAGCACTCCTCCATGGGAATGTGCAACAGATGGTATATACCATCATTTAATTAATTCCAGTATCCATCTGTCTCAAGACAAGCCCCAAAAGGAAGGGTAAAGGAAAAGGGAAAAGTTATATCAAATATGACTTGGGATTTTCAGGAGTAGCAGACATACGGTCTTCAGGAAACAGAGGTTAAAGACTCCTACAGAATTCAGTTACAAGCCTTTCTATAATCTTATGGAGCATCCTGTAGTTGAAGGAGGAACCAGCAACTGTAACTGTGACTGCTCTTTAGAAGCCTATCACCCTGTCAAAGGCATATGTCCATTGATGATGGGGTTCTAGGGAATAAGTATATGAAAAAAATGGGCTTGTTTCTTTCAGTTTACAAGGTATATCCATCTATGCAACTATGCATTTTATAATCCTAATATGCATGCATTTTAATAGAGCAAAACTTATTTCCCTACCTAAGGGAAAAAGAATTAAACTAAAGCGCCAGTTAATACTCTTAGACTGTAAGGGACATCAGAAGATCATCGGGTCTAACCCTCTGCACCAAGCAGGAAAGAGACCTGGGGGTCAGGTGACCCCAGCAACGTGACTGTCTAGTTTCCTCTCAAAGATTTCCGGAGGAGTTCTGACCCCAGGTAAAATTTCTTCCTGATCTCAAATCTGGCGATCAGTCTGACCCTGTGCTGAAAGACAAGATCATCTAGCGAGGAAACTTTGGCTTTGGTCCCAGCAGAAGCCTTGGTCCAGTCAAAGCATGCGTCTACATGTATGTATATGAACACGTGTATGTAGATACAAAAACATATGTGTATATGTATAGGCATATATACACGTATATTGATACATAGACATGCATACATACATCTCATATACACACGTGCATGCACATGTATGCCTGGGGGTGCGCATGTGTGTGTGTGTGTGTGTGTGTGCGTGTATATATACATACATACATACATATATATATATATACATATATATATATATATATATATATATATATATATATATATATATATATGTATATATATACACACACATACATACACACACATACACACACACACACACCCCCCAGTATACATGTATGTATGCATGCATGCATATGTATAAACACATACACTAGGGCTTTAGTTCATCCCTGTGAAGAAGAATGTCTAGAATAGGGGCAGGCAATTATTTTGGGTGGAGGGCCACTTAAAAGTTTTGGCGAGCTGTTGGGGGCCACATAGGTAGTCTCACCACTTGACACTTGCCCCGTCCCCTGGTTACCACATTGGGATCAGAAGTCTTGCCCCCTAACCTGACCTTTGCCACTGGATGCCCCTCTCCTTACTGCCCCCTCTCCCCGCAAATACTCCTTTTTGGAGAGGGGGCTGCCATCTTAGAACCAGGAAACCAAATCATACACTAGAAGTCAAACACCTATTATATTTTATTATACAATTGTTTCATTCTTATTGTGTGTGCATGTGTGTGCGCGCGGGGGGGGTGAGAGGGTGTGGCTGTGTAGGGGGGCATAAGGTATGTTGGGGTATATGCATGTAGGTGGGGTTGTGGGGGTGGGGTGTGGGTGTGTAGGGACCCCTCACACACTCCCATGGCATGCAAACCCCACTGCTGGCAACAGAAGCAGGTGGGGAGGTCGGGGCATTTGTGCCCAGTGCAGACGCCTGGTGGGGTGTGGCTCTGGCTAGCCCTGTGCAGAGGGAGGGAGTGTAGCCTGCCCGGCTGCCTCTATTACCAGGGCTCCATGCCACACACCTACAAGTCCTGCACTCGCAGCAGGGGAAGCCCCGCAATGGAGCCTGCTGCTTCCCCCACTCCCTGCTGCACAGGTCTCCACGCTCTGCTGGAGGGAGCCCCACCCCCTGCTTCCCAGAGGAGTCCAGCGTGGAGGAAGGAGTCTTCCCTTTCAGTCCTCCAAGTCCCTGCTGGCCTTAACATGCAACTGCTCCAAACTTGAGATAGCACTAATACAGATCAACACTTATGCCTCTCACAGTGCAAGATGTAACAAGACACTTAAATCATTCTGCTTTCCACAGCATCCTTCACCTCACTTTTCTTGCTATTTAGAAACTGTTTGCCCCTGGGCCAGGGCCCTTGTCTTCATGCCATTCTAAACCATTCAGTATGATCACGACAGTATAAAAAACAATACAAACAATGCCTACAACATGCAGACTGAAGAAAGAGGATAAATGATCTTTACTGCTATTCCTTTCTGCAGCAAAGACAATAAAGCAATAACACATTGTAGTCTTCAAGGCAGCACAGATACACATTGTAGTCTTCAAGGCAGCACAGATGCTTACTGTGACAAACTGCTGCATCCTCTTTTTTGATAACACATGAAGAACTCAAATCTGAACCTGTTCTTAAGAAGCAGAACAGTCTGCAGACTACACCTTCTTGCAGTAGTGCAATCAAGTTTTAACATATTATATAAATTTCAGAGAGCCATCTTGCCCAACAAATGAAACTGCATTTTGCAAGTGTTTACTGTGCTCCTATATACTGTCTAGAAAGCAAGCTTAAGTATCACTTCACTTGAGTTACACTATCAGACTTCTCAGATGTCATATCTATACAAAGCCGAGTCAGCCACCATCAGAAAAAGGCTGGGAAGTGGGGGACAAAAATCTACTTTGAAAAACAAAATGTCTTGGATGATAGTGAATTGGAATGGGCTTATTTCAATTATTTTAGGAAATAGCCACTGGTCTTTATAACTTTTACAGTCTTAAATGATGCCTGTGTTATTTTTTAATACTAGATTGCCAATACTTTTCCCATATTCTCAGCTCAGCAGCAAAGAAGTTTTACTGTCCAAATCTGCTGAGTGCCTTACAGTTCATGTAAACTGTAGACCAGAGATGATCAGCCCATGCACCAGATCTGGCCTGTGTAAGCAAGAGCCAAAATTTTGGCAGTGGGAAAGTGGTGGCAGCATCAATTGCTGCTCCCCTACTGCCAAAGTTCCAGATACATGAGGTACCTCACAGGCCAGATAAAAAGGATTTTAGGCCCTGTGTGTTAGATCAGGTGCTCAGGGCAGTGCAGGGTCTAATCCCAGTGTGCAAGGTCAGGCTGAGGCAGTATGGGACCCAATTGGGGTGCACACAGCCAGGTGATGGTGGAATATGAGGTGAAATCAGGGTAGGAGCGTGCAGGGCTGGGTGGAACCAGCTCTGGGCGACTGGCTGAGGCTGTGCAGAGTCCTATCCTGGCTTGCAGTGGAGACTGCATGGGGTCCAGTCCTGGTGTGCAGGACCCGACCTGGCCCATAGACTGACCCCAAAGCACTTATTCAGCTTCCAGGGCCAAATGACTGAGCACCACTGCTACAGACAGTCCCTGCCCAAATGAAATTACAAATTACTTTTACAATATATTTATAAAAGTGAAACTATCTATTTTTGTGGATTTTCCAGACTGGAAGTTTCCTGCTAAATTTTTTCCACAAGGTTGAAGGCAGAAGAGACAAAAATTAGAGAGCATAATTCCTGAGATCCCTTATTAAATCTGAAACCTGAATGAACAATAGTCACTCTTCTGAAAGAAACTGCATCTTCTTAGTAGTTGCACATTTTTACAAACAGGATATGTGGGTAAACTACAAGGTTTGAGACTACCTTACCTGTGCTCTCTCCTCATCAAATTCCAGGCAGCCCATACCATCTAGTCTCTGTAGATCAATCCAGCCTTTCCAGATAACACAGACACCATTTAGAATCATAGGCGCCTTTAAGTACACCTGAAACAAGCAAACATATGTGGGTTGAATTCAAAAGCATTTATACAGAATAAAGATAGCGTACTGCTGTATTTCTATAACTAGGGCAAAAAAAGCTATATACACAACACTTATTTAAGTGCGTACTCTGAAATTCCACTGCACTGCTTCACTCTCCCATGAACTACATTCTACTCAAATGCTTACAAGATACTAATCTGGACCCTGTATTTTGCTTACTACACAAAATTAAATTTATTTTATGTTACACTTTCATTTATAAGCTAGTATACCCAGTTTTCAGTTATAGCTCCATTATTGCTCACAAAGTCACTTGGGGTGGTTTTCTATGTGCTCCAGGGGTGGGAACATGCTCTAATTAAGTGCCAGTATCTTGTATTTCAATGTCCCTGTGCTTCAAAATGGTGGCAGGGGCATTTCAACTAAGGCTCATCTAGCAAGCTTTAGTTAAAGCGCCTACCACCATTTTTGAAGTGCGGGGATGTCAATACACAAGATCCAGAGGCTGCTGGAGCACTAATTAGCACACTCCAGCAGACTTGTTTGAGCCTGCTCTGATACGCTTTAATTGCAGTATGTTGGAGAAGCCTCCCAGCACATCTACAGGCACCTTCGGTTTTACATGTAAACGTAATAGGAAGTCTGATGTGAAAAGTGGCACACAATCAACCAGGAAAGATGATTTACCACAAATTTGTTTTTAAAAGTTAAATGAAGACTGCCTTTCCTACACTTATACAGGTGCTGTACTTTGTTGTTACTTTGCCTGAAATTCATTTTTCCCCAATACTGAAAAGCATCAATTTCATTTAGGCCTAAAAACCTTAAGTTCAATGCTATTGCCCTATCTAAACGACAAAGACTGAGGTAATATTTTAATTCCCACTCCTCACAAGGAACCTGATTGTTTAACATTTTTTTCTAATATTTTTGAACGGTTTATTGAAAAATGACAATTATTAAAGATTTCTACTGAAATACTATTCATGGTGCCATTTAAAGCAGCAGGAGAAACAATATGCATCACTAAGAACCTACAGTCCACATAGCAATAAGTTATACTGTGATTTAAAGCAAAAGTACTTTCTACGCAAAAGACCAGACATTCATCTTCCCACAGGAAATTTAAAAAAGAAATAGATACCCTATTAAGGGAGCTTGGTTACATTTGCTGACCTTAGTTTTAAAGAGAAACAACCCTGTTATAATACAGTGTAACTCATGAAAATGTCAGACTGCTTTCAGTAGATACTCTGACCTCCTCTGCAGGCAAACAGTATCTGGAGTAGAAGCTTATGTGAATAAATGTCTGAAAAGTAAAACAAATAAAGGAGGGCTTCTAGCAATTTTAAACACCTGACAAAAGTAGAATTTATAGATGGTTGTAAACCTCTCAGGACTTCCACTTGTTACACTTTATCAGAAGAGTCACCCGTAAGATCAGGGACTTGCAAGATAAGCCATACTAGGAAAGGCTGAGGGACCTGGGCCTCTTTAGCCTAAAGAACAGAAGGTTGAGAGGGGACTTGATAGTGGCTTACCACTATATCAGAGGAGTGCATCAGGAGCTTGGTGAACAACTGTTCACTAGGATGCCCGAGGGGAAGACCAGGACCAGTGGATGCAAACTCCTGGTAGGCTGCTTCAGGCTTAATACTAGGAAAACCTCCTTCTCAGTCAGGGTGTCCAGACTGTGGAATAAACTCCCTCCAGAGGTGGCGCAGTCACCTACCCTGGTGGTTTTCAGGAGGAGACTGGACAGTCACCTTGCTGGGGTCACTTGACCCCAGTTGTCTTCCTGTCTAGAGCGGGGGGGACGGGCTGGACCCAGTGATCTGTGAGGTCCCTTCCAGCTCCTAACAATCTATGAATCAAAGCTTCTGAATCAAAAGACCTTGATCCAGGATTTTGTTCACAACTGTCCACATTGCTTAAAATCCTTATGTTCTGTAGTTCAACAAACAGTTCTAGCTGGGCATTTAAAAAAAATAATATTTGGACTTTCACCACTATAGGAAATTAAAATATAAATGGGAGGTTGAGGTGACATGGTCACTTCCCCTACACACCTCTATCCTTTAGTGACTCAGGGCAACCACAAAAAAAACAAGATCTAGCAACTCAAACTGTTGCTGTCCTGAGCACATATGTAGATGCTGCACCCAGGAGCAGCTGAACTGCTCTGGAGTTTATTGCATCGTGTTAATTTCATGTGTAAATGTACCCAGGAATGGCTTAATCTTGCCTACACAAAGGAATTGACTACAATAAACTATGCGTGATGTAGCAACTGTGTAATTACCTATATGCTATTCAGCCGGTGACTTGTGTCAATTAGCAACAACATTATTATAAATGATTAAATATTTCAGTCTTCACTGTTTTAAATAAATATGTGGAAGAAGTTTATTAATTCACACTCCCAAACTCTGCCCCATAGTTTGTTTGTTTGTTTTTTAAAGTACCAAGAGCATCAATTTTTCCCTTATGCCAGGGGCAGGCACTGTTTCTGTAGCAGGGGCTGCTTTAACAGAATTTAGCAGCAAGTATGAGCCAAGCCAGTCACCACTCCCCCTGCTGCTTGGCTGTTACATGGGCAAAGCACCCCCCGTTCCACTCTTTTGGAACCTCTCCAGCTCCATGGGCTGGATGAAATGGTCCCACAGCATGGAGCCAACCCATGGACTGTACATTGACGGACAATTTCTCCCCTATGCAATTACCAAAAAACCCTTTCGTTTTCTGTTAAGAAAACTTGCACGATACATTTAACAAAAAACAAAGCGACTATCTGCATTATGAAAATAGTTTACAAGCAGCACAAAGTAGACTGAACTTAATATCCATGCAAGATAGTACATGGATTGTATTCTGCATTTTGATTCACTTGATTTTTCAATAATTTTATTTCCACAACTTTACATCTCAAGAATGAAAAAAAACCCCAAAACTTATTTAAGAGGCTGAATTTGTAATGAACTACAGACAGACACATTACTGAATAAAACCCGAGTATTTCTTTCTGCCAACTGCACGTATTTTATGCCACCCCCTCCCCTCAAAACATCTAAATCATGCACATTAGTGTAATTTCCTTTCTTTCAGAAAAAGGCATACAGGGATTCTTTCTTTTTTCTCTCTTTCTAGAAGAAGGGAAACCACCTACTGTTGTAGCCTAAACCGTTTAACCACATATTTCCTTATTTTCATATAAAACCGTGCTGGTCCCCTTCCAATTTCCAAACTCAGCAGAATTTTAATAAATTCTTGTCGCTTTGTAGTTATCACACAATCTGTGTCAGCACACTTCGAAATCCAAAGTGTTTTTATCTCTTACAAACTCACATGCTCAAGTCAGGTATCCAGAAGATGTTACTGGATCACAGTAAGCCAGCGAAAGAAGACTACAGCAATTCTAGTCAGCCTCAAGATTTTTTCCTAACAAACTGGTAATTATTAGTCTGCAATGACAACTAGCTCAATAACTAGTTTTGTTAGTAACACTATCCTAAAAGCTTAAAGGAAAATCTGTTTTCAAGATTAATCAGTTCTCCCATACACTGTCAGTTCTCTTCTCTGATAGTGCTTGCCAGGAGAATATCTGAAATAAATTTGTGTTTGAGACTCAGCTACTATAATCACAAAACCCCAAGGCAATTAATGATCTCATGTTTAGTCCAGGGTTTTATGGCATACAGAAAACACCACACAGGCCCACACAACTATTGGGATTTCTCATACAGACCTCTGCATGAGACAGGGATACTGTGAAGAAAACAACAGGAGATTATGTAAATGAAACAGGATCATAAATAATACAAAACTCAGGTTGGACTGGAAACTGAAGATCTGTTATTTACAAACTTCAGAATACTAGATTTTTTAAAACCACATTTAACTTTTCCCTCTTATCAATATCAGCAACAGGGTTTGAACCCTAAAACATGAGTACAACCACACAAAAATAAGACAAACTGGCAAACAACATCAGAGAGATATTGTCTTCAATGAACCAGCCAGAGTACCCTAATGGACTGAAGCAATTGATTACTGCAGCAGTACCCCCTTTTTCCAGACAGAAACACAACCAAAACCAGTAGTTTCTGAAAGCATATGGCTCTTCTTGCATTCCTATAATGCTATAATGGGTCATTCTGGACATCATCCATTCTCAAAGTTGTGTAGTGTGCAAGCTCTTGTTTAATAAGGGTTATGAAGGACACAGAATTGTTAGGCCTAAAACAATAGTAGCAGGAAGTCCAACCACCCCACCTGACCTAGTTCCAGCACAGTGCTTCTTCATCTACACTAGAGATTTTCAATGAGGAGAAACCACTGTTTTATCATTCATTTTGTCTGCACATATCCAGAGATCCCACTCTATATGTAGACTGCCCGAGCAAGTGAGACACTAGGGTGATGTGCACGGGGCCAATAAAATCTTAACAGTTTCTGGCAGAAAGCCAAAAGCAAACTCTGAAATGTGAAACAAAGACGCATATTAGCAAGCTTCAACAGCCTAGAATAGCCAAGTATAAGCAGAAATTTGAGGCCAACAAAAGGCACTCCCTTTGACCTTAGGACTAAGGCTGCCTCATGTCACAGTTCTCCTGCCATCTGTAGGTATGACTGTTGTTGATTAGATTAGAAATTGTTTCTTAAAATAATAATATATTCCAGCGCACCATGATGACCAACCAGCTATTGTGAAAGGGCAAGAAGCTGATGTATAAGACAAAGAATGACACACATATTTAAAACCAAAACTGGAGGATTCCCTTCACTTTATGAGAAAACAGTTCTTAATGATTTTGAAAGAATGATTTACTTGAATACAAAACTCAAAACCTAATTCTCAGTTTCACATCCTATTTTAGTCCTCTGGTAAGCCCTTATCACATGATACCAGGGTACATGACTGACATGATTTTAGATACGCTATCTGTGAGCTTCATCCACACATCCTGCAGTTACAGAAAGAAGCGTTCCTTTTCCATAAA